AAACATCAAACAGTTTTCCTGCTGGTTATGCTAAAATCTGAATGCTTGAGTCTGCTGGCATTACTGAAAATTAAAATGTACTATTCTTGAGTGTATTTAGGATGCCCTTAAATAACTATCAAAAATGGTTTTGTTCTTCCTTTATATGAAGACTAGCACCATAATGCTAAAATACCTGCATTAAATAATGTCTCTAATTGGTAGCATGAGGATACTTTTTAAAAGTATAAAATATGCATTTTTTCCCTATTTTTCCTAGGCTAATGTGGCTAATTTTCCCATACAACTTCATCCCTAAGGAAAAATATAGACGGAAAGACCATTACCAATACATGAAGTTCAGTGGTTCTCTCTCTTAAGATGTAATTGCTATCAAGGAGCCTGGCAGCAGGGTAATTTTAGTTCAAATGAGTACATAGCCTGAAAAAGGATAAATCAACCTTTGTAGGTCTGAAATTAGATCCCAGTGTGGGATTGTTCTAGCTAAATGTACACCAGGTTCATAAAATGCATTTCACAGAGTGAAAAGCCCCTAAAATCTAGAAGATGGCAAGGGCAGCGGTGAGCACGGGGCTGCAGCGGGAAGGTTTCAGGCTCTGTTAGAAGACCTCCCTCACTCTTCCTTTGCTAGTTATGGCCTCAAATTACCTTCTTAATCAGGCAAAAAAGGGGTCAATCCTGCTCCCATTCACAGCAGGGGAAAGCTTCCCCCAATACCCCAAATACTTTTCTCATGATGATTAGTACCATAGCTCCACATCCAGAAAGGAAGAGGTGGCTGCAGCAGCAAGCTGGGCACCTTTATTAGAATTAAGCACTTAAATAGCTTTTTGGCTCTTGGTGCAGAGCCCCTGGAGCACCAGTAGACTTTTAAGAGCGGACAGGTCATTCACTTTGGCCACTGGATGACATGAAGGAGAAGGCAGGTTACACGGGTGCAAGAACAAAACTGACATGTCAATTCAAAACATTCTGCAAATATCCTTGGAGGTGAAAGAGTTCTGAATTATCATTCTGCTTTATTACAGAAACTCTGCTTTTCGGTGGATGTCTTGGATTAAAGAAAAAGTTGATGGCTGGTGCTTGGCCACAGAATTTAGGTCATGCCTCGGCTTTATACCATATGAAGCCCTGACATGCACGTGTATCGGGTTCAACAGCAAGGGAGGCGAGCTGTGAACCCGGGTCTGTCACCACAGTTCTGGCTGTGAGATCCCCAGCTGGGTGTAAGGAAAAGTCTTTGTCCCAAGAAAAATGTAGGATGAAAGATTTTATTGCAAGATGAGGATTGCCTCTGTATCCCAGGGCCATCAAGCCCAAGACATAAGGTCATATTCATTTTTAAATTTGCTTTGTGTATTTTTTTGCTGAGGGCTCTCTTTTGGACAACTCAGTGACATTAGCTTCATAAATGTAAATCTTTAGAAAACCAAAGGCTTTTCTTTTTCCATATGGAGTGCTTTGGTAAAAGTAGACAGATCCCAATCTGTATCACTTGTTCATTAGGGCTTGGAGTAACACCCTGCCTCTGCTTTACACAGTGGCTTAGGTGCTGCAGAGAGGATGAGTCTCCCTGGCCCCATGGCCCACACTTTCATATTAAAGGATGAGTATCTAATGGGCGATGTTACAGATGATCAGCTTTTTTAAATCTTTGCCAAGCTGTATTTCATAGAAGCACCTGTCATACCTGATATTTATAGAAACAGATAATAAATGTGTCCCGAACAGCTTATGATGTTGTTTCAGACAACCTGTGATGAAGTCTTTTTATGGACTACGTTTCAACTACCCTTCTCTTAGATGAATGACATACATAGATGCAACTGCAATGCAATGACATTGCATAGATGCAATCCTGACAAGCAGCCTAAGAATTATATCCACTTCTGATTTTGAGGAGGTTTGGGTCAGATTTTCTCACATCCTGCTCTTACCCTTCCACCAAGCATGGACAAACCATTTTCTTAAAGGTTAAGGCCAGTCTGCATAACCTCATTTGTGTGGTGTGTCTTCTCCCTGACCTCTGCTTTCATCATTTTCCAAAATGTTACCAGAGCAATAGTAATAATAACAAACTCTCCAAAATGCAAAAGATTGCTGAGCACATTTCTTAAGCCAAAGTCTTCTGTGTCACTACAATATGCTGAAGTAAAAACATATCCGGGAGTTGTCCCTGGAGTCTCGAATCATTCTCTCATCATACTGGGTTCAAAGACGATGCGAGTTGTGTAGTGTAGCTGAAAGTATCTGCATAAAGCAATTCCTCTATGATGTTGTTTTGTTTCTGGCTTGCTTTTACCTGGTCTATCTGAAGACATTGTTTGAGGCTAAGGAAAAAAATATGAATAATGTTTGGGCCTAGAGATCAAAAAATCAGACTTATTTCCATAGTCGTTAGTAGCCAGTATCCCATGTGAATCTCTTCATTTCTAAAGCTACACTGAAATGCTGAGAGTGTTAGGAAGGATTTCTTTTTCTTTTTCTTTTATTTTTATAAGAGTTTGTTCTTGATTTTTGAAGATGCTGAAAGCTTTTTGATGTCACAAAACCAATCATAAGAGGGAAAACACAAATTTAAATGTGAGATAAAAGGGATTTTGCATACATGCATAACAAGAAATCCATTGAACAAAACAAATTACTTACCACCTCCACAATGGCTCTCTGCCTCCAAGGGATGGGCTAGTTCACAACGGGGAGGTGACAGTGATAAAGTCATTCGATACTGTGATCACAAAAGTTGCAATAGAAAAAAAAAATATATATGGAACATAAACTACAAAGAGGGGAGGGTGGAAAAAAATGGCTCATCATTCCCACGGGATTGTGAGTGACTTTCACTATTCCCCCAAAAGTTTCACTTCAAACATTATGAGGCCAGAAAGGTCTCTTTTTGTGTGGCAGATGTGGAAGCTGACAGAGGAAGGCAGGGGAAGGAGAATGGCTGAATTTTTTATTCAAGTAACTTTGTTCCCACTTGGATGTGCCTTGTTTGGAATTCAGACAGATGGCAATGAAGTGTGAATTCTCCTGATTTGGAGGGCAAAATGATCTCTTGGACCGGAGCTCATTTTCAAAAGATTTGTTTTGGTTTGATTTTTCTTTCCTTTTACAATTCTCCCTATCTTTTATTATTTTGAATTTATGAATGATGAGCATTACTGGTTGGGAAAGGGCTAAGAAAGAGACATAATCAGAAATTTTCATCACAGTTTTGTCTTTTAGGAAGGAATTTTGGGATGCTTTAGGAACCACTCAGATTGGCTAGCAAGAAATACTTCTCTGACTTGTCCCCAGTCTCCTGACAGGGGACAAGGAATCATATTGGACATGATCCCTTTTTATTTGTCTATTTATTTGTTCTGCTTTACAGGGCAAAGCACTGATTTTTGAGGGCTGAAAGTCTGAGAATGCCTAGGATAAAGTATGTTGCAACCACTATGGATTAAGAATATAAAAGATGATATTTTATATGATCTGCTGGTTTTATTGGAGGCGAGGAGAAAGGAGACTATCCTGAGTACACAATCCCTTAGTCAAAAAAACAGTGGCAAACCCCAAACAAAGCATAAGTTGTCCAACTGATTAATGTGATTTGGCATTGCCTTGAAGTCTGAAGCTCTTGGATAGACCTGACCACTTCTTTTTATTGTATTTCTTAGCCAAAGGAAAAGATAAGGCCTCCCCTAGGAGCCTGCTCCTCATACTGTGGCTTTACAGCACAGACTGAAGAAGCTGCTGTTCTTCTTCGTCCTCCTTCCCCTGTTATTGTCACTCACTACTGCCTCAGCTGTTCCAATTGCTGCTGGTCACCAATCAGATTAAGAAAAACCTTAAACTAAAGGGTGGAGGGGAATCAGGTTCCCAATTTTCAGTGCAGCACTGTAAAGGGTAGATAAACAAATGTGAGAAAGGAGATGTACAACACTATGGGGCTTGTCCAATGCGGTGCTAAGTGTGCTACCATGTAGAGATGTTCCCACTATGACCAATAGCATTAGTCTACATCAGATTGTGTAAGATATCCAAACAGCAAGCCAACCAATTCCACTCCAAAACTGCACTATGGACATTTTCTTAGTACAAATCCCTATATCTACAGCTCTTACTTATGAGTTTCAGCCAATGCTATTGTCCCATTTCTGTCCCCCAGTGAGTCCCAGTACAGCTGGGATGGGGCTTTTCACTCTCAGGTTGTGTTGGGCCACACAGGGACTCTCCATGCTCTGTTCCTCTGAGCTTCAAATCAGAGGGAACAAAAGTCACAAAGCACATTGAATTCATTTCCATTCCAAATGGGGTGGAATATGGTAAAAGCTCCTCAAAATATTTCACATTTTCATTTTTGCTTGCTTGTTTAGATTTCCTCTGTCTTTTTCTTTGCTTCTTGATAGAAGTATCAGTGCCTGCATTTACTTGGTCACTGAAAAACTGATAGAAGAATAGAAAGAAAAGAGATGATGATCAAACAGAAAAATAAATTAAAGAATGATTTGATTTCTGAGCAACAAACAAAAGACTGAAACACTTTCCTGAAAAAAAAAAAATTGTGAAATTTTTGTCACAATATTTTAAGCTTGAGAGTACCTTATCTTTCTTATCAGAAAAAGAAACTTTTTCTTTCCTTCTTCAGTATCCTTATTTCATGAGCAGGCAATTTTCCAGTCTCCTATCAATTTGTTGCCTATGTTAAGCTCCTTTTTTTGCTGTCCCATCTCAACAAATCCTTTGGTCACATTTCTGAGGTCAGCAACATTCAGCTTTCATGCCTGTCAAATTTCAGCTACCAGAAAAAACTGGCTATTGCCGGCAGATTTGTTCAAAAAATCTGGGCTGTCAGTGGATGCTTTTCCATGACTTCCAGTGATGTTATTTTGGATCAAACCTGACCTAATTCAGTGGCCAACTCATCAGTTCTTCCAGCATGCTTGCTTCATTACATTCATTTATATATGGCATAGTTGTCATCCTTGGTTCTTGATATCAAAAAATTGTTCTGAAGTTTATGAGGAGAAAATCATCAATTTGAACTAAACTCCAGTTTAGAGGTTCCCACTATATTTCTGAAATGTTAACTTCAATGCCACTCTGAAGGGAAGAATACAGCTCTGGTGTGCAGAGACAGAACAGGTTACAGTTTTAGAAGAAGCCTGAAGGAGATTTAGGATCCCTTCCTTCAAGCAAGCAAGCAACTCTAAGAAGAGTTGTTGCTTTTACCAGTAGTACTATGTCTTGAGGATCTGAAGAGCATTTTCATCACTCAGAGCAGCTGCATAGAGTTATACAATAATCACCTGCAAATTTGACAAAGCAAAGTCAGGATCTTAATACTGCAATTCATTTCCTTTGATATATTATCTGTCATCTCCCCCTTCCCACACAACCTTTTTATACTGAGCAGGAGATGGCACATTATCTACTCCCTTGACAGTTGAGAGAAAAAAAAGTATTTTTTTCCTCCTCTCCCTCTCTCTTCCCTTCTCAGTCTCCCACTCTTTTTCCTTTTCTCTACTATTTGTTTTTTTTCTTCCCTTTATTTCTGGGCTTAAAGTTGTGCCCTTTCCCCTCCCATGTTTCTCTGACTATTTTAAGGTTCTTTCAAAGGAGAAGGAAGAAAATCCCGTTTGATTCAGTTTGACACAAAATGTAGGAACAGTGAAAGAGAACCTGTGATGAGGACTCAGGCCAAGCAGCCCGTTACCAAGTCAGGGTGTTCCAGACAGCTCCTTCAGGTATGACTGGATTGTATTTTAAGAATGTGCTAAAACTCTGCTCGTTTTACTTTTAAACAGCCTAATTAGGCTCTAGGGGAGCTCTGGAGTGTAGTGGAGGAGAAGGCTTTCATCCCTTCTCCTCTACATACAGTGAGAACAAGTCTGGCTATGGATGCATCCACTCAGTTGAATTTGCCACCACAGGTGCCCAGAGAGCATGCACAAGATCTACACTGCACAAAAGATCCAGGATCTGAGTTGCAATAATTTCCACAAATGGGCTTTTCATTGCCATGGACTTCATTGTCACTAGCTGTCATTGGCTAGAAGAGGCTAAAGAAAACTCAGTTACAATTCAATTAATATTCAAATACCTCCTGACACTTAACTGCATAAAGACTACCTATGGTTTCAAATGTGATTCACGTGGCATATATGGCCCTTAATTTTAAATTGACTTAAAAATTTCGGTGGAAAATCTGTAGGCTACAAAGGCTAGATTTATTTATCTGCCATATACTCTCTGTGAAATCCTAGGAGTGGGGACACCCAAATGAGAAGTCACAGTGTTTGGGTTCTCGTCTAACCAAGGCTCATTGATTTTTAAGCGCATAAATTCAGAAACTCTAAAGACCCAGCCAAAGACAATACAGCAAGAAGCACAGTTCAGAGATTCCCCCGGGGAAGAGATGTGGTTGTAAACACTTGAAAATGTTTAAATCCAGTGAATACTCTAGTTATATAGCAGTCCTAACAACCTGAAACACTCTGGACAGAATGGAAGGAAACTCTTGCCAAAGATAACAACAGACTTGCAGCCCTTTTCTCATCTCCTGTGCCAAGATTTTGAGTTATCACAGCCTCACTGCTCCTAGAGATGTCCTTACCTTCCTGCGGCTCTATTCCGAGCAGCACAGCAGCTCTCCTTCGCGTTACAAGTTCACCTCGTAGGTGGCCTCACACAGTTGTGAGAGGGTCTTTGACTGACAAACTGCTAAACTGAAAAGGAGCAGTCACTAGGTACCTAAGGCCCAAGTTAAAGCCATTAAATGTTGTTATAAAGAGCTACTCAGGACTTCGGATCCTACTCCCAACCTGGGAGTGATAGCATCCACGTAAAGACTTCCAGAGGAAAGGAGCATGGGGCAGGTATAAGTATATATGGTAAAGTCATCTCTGCTGATGCAAATTCACCACAACAAAAGATATTGTACTTACAGGAACTTCTAAAAATGCCTCAGTTCAAGAAGCATCAAAATTTTTCTACGAAAAAAGAAGTGTAGAACAAAGAACAAGTAATGTCCAAAGTGTGTTGAATATAAGCGGGCTATGATCCAAACCAGGACTGTCAGGTTTGTGAACTGAAGTAGTAAGGAGACCCAAGTAGGTTAGCACTAGATAGAGGTATAAGGAAAATAAGAGCTTTTGCAAAAATATCAGGGGAGATGAAGTACCAGAGAGAAGTTGAATTCTTCAGTAAACTGAGAGACTGAACTCTTTTGAAATCGGCCTTTAAATAAATATATAAACACTAAGTTTGAATAACTGGAAAACACTGGAGAAAAATAAACCTGTAAAAATAGAGATAATGACAAAGAATGGGATGGGGAATATAAAGAAAATATGAATATAAACAAATCAGCCTTCCAGATTACATGCATCCTAGAACACTTAGGGAATTGAATAACAATTTTATTGTACCACCAACAATTATTTTTTGACAAATCATGGGAGATTCCCAAGGCCTGCAGCAAAGCAAATATTGTACATATTTTTCAGAGAACTGAAGCATGATGCTGGTAATTACCATCTCATACGTCAGTTTTCTCTCCCTGGTAGTATAATAGAACAAATAATTTCCTCAGAGCTATAGGGCTGACTTGCTCATTACCCCCAGATGATCCAGGGTAGTCCAACACAAAGCTGACTGACAGCTCCAATCCTGGCTCAACGACAGAGGAATTGCTGGCATGGCTCTGGTGCATTCAGTGGTGTATCGTGAATATGCAATGCAATACCGTGTAGAAAGTGCACAAGGTAATGTTGAACAAACTCATTCCCAAATTATAAAAGATACTATTTCTCTGCCTAAGCTAATTAGTCTTGATACTAATTAGCAGATCCTGAATTCGATGAAGTTGTGGAACGTACGTGCTATTATCTGTAAAGAGCCCATGAGGAAATACTCCCAAATGTGGGAACACACGAGACAATGCACCCATTCTGCTCAGCTCCCACATTCCTAGAAATGCATTGGGAAGGAATTCAGAGGAAAAGAGAAGATTTATAGATGACTTAAATATATATATATATCTTTAATGGCACTAAAAAATGGAGAGACAATGAGTAGACAGTCACTGTCGCAGTTAGATTAATGCTCATAGCTGAGTGTCCAGCTTCTGGGATATTCTAAGGCAATATTCCTTTCTTGTTCTCACCCAAAGCCTGCTGTTTTCGACCTTGTGCAGGCTTTGTATGGTCCATCCATAATCTTTGTTTGCAGGTATTTTGGGAGGCCAGGAGGGACCGTTAGATCATCAGTTCTGGCCTCCTGCATAACACATGCTGCAGAATTTTGTCCAAAAAGGTAATGAACTATTCACCTCCTTTGTGATAGTGAATGAGGTTTGAACCCGGGTCTGATTCTATAGCTTTTGGAGATCGCAGTTTATTTTTGACATTTATTAATTCAGATTCTGCAAAGCATCATCCCACCAAAATACTGTACTACAAATAATTATCTCTCAAAAAAAAAAAAAAAGAAAAAAGCACTGCTTGAAGAAGGAGAACGCAATTGGGGTGGTGGGGGGAATGATGACAAGCCAAAACATAAATGGAAAGAATTGAAGATTACCATTTTTCCCAATTTTATATCAAGCTCTCTATTCCTGCTGTCTTCCTAGTTAACTAGGAGGCATCAGGGAAACTAAATGATAGTTTAGTCTCAAAAAAAAAAAAAAAAAAAAAAAAAAAGAGAGAGAGAGAAATGTGTTTCTACAGTAGACTTTATATATCCATTCAGCATGGTCTAATGTAAGTCAGTCTTTAACAAATATTTTTTCTCAACTTGGTTCCAGGATAAAATTGTAGAAGTTAGTGAAAGGTGAAAAAAAACCCTCAATCTATTCAACTGTAAAAAAAAAAATAAAAAGACATTTAAGGGGGGTCTAACTGAAGTATACAAAAATCTTAGCTGAATGGATAATATCAATGCATGTTACTACTTTTGATACTGCATAGATGACAGGATCAGGGGCATAAATGGAAGTTCAAAAAACAAATTCAGAAGAGACATAAGGAAGTGCTTTGTCACTCAAAGAATAATAAATGTTTGGAATGGCCTACTGGGCAAGGTTGTTGAGGCAAAGACAGTGGGTTCGTTCAAGAAGCAATTAGATGCTATCCTGGGGGAAACGCTGTATTACAAGAGACAAGCATCAATGTGTTGAATGGCCTTTTCTCATTCCTAACATTTTCTATGTTCTTTTCTGCAGCTTGTACTCTTAAGGGTCTGCAGCCTCGGCGCATGATATCAAAACTGAAATCAGGCCCAGCAGTGTTCTCCACTAAACTGGGCCAAGAAACATAATAAAGATTTGGCCTCGCTATAAAAATGTGTCGCGCTGTACAGCTACCCTGCTTCTTCCATGCTGGCTTGCGAGCTGCTAATAAAGGAATCGGCATTGGGCAAGCCACCCAGGGCTCAAAGATTTGCCTCACACCTTGTGTCGAGTCTGGAGTGCACTTTTTAGAAACTGGGGCACCCTGCCCTTCAGGTGGGAGCACTTTAGAGATGGGTGAAGACGATTCCAGCTCTCACAAGACTCTTTGGATCTTTCACAACAAAACCTTTCATTCAAATGTATCTTTATTATTAGTTGTTGGGGTTTTTTTGAGAATATCTCAGTTCCTTTCACCTTGCCCATCCATTCTAAATCAGTGTCGTCTCCCTCCAGGCACAGTGCTGATCCATTCCCTCCTCTTCCACCTTTTATGTACATCAAGAGGAAAGCGAAGTTTGAATTTGTTCTTCAGCGCGTGTGATGGTGCACATAGAAAGATCAAGTCTTTAGAAGGTTAAATAACATATTGTGTGTCATGCCAAAGTGGGTGCATCAGCAATGGAGCCATCAGCTGAAGAAGGGCTTTTCTTCCCCACCATCTCTTAGCAAAACTGCAGCCACTCTGCTAGCTGAGACCTTTCCCTTTGCCACAGTGCAGGGCACTATGGACCCACATGAACCCGTGGGCAGCGAAGGGGAACCTGCAGGGTCACTCACTGCAAATATCCCTTTCTGGAAATTTAAAGTTCACTTGCAGAGGAGCACAGAGCTTGTGACACCCTGCTGAGCAGCTTGAACTCCATTTAGAAGAGGACGCTGGTTCAATATATGCATCAGATTAATATTTTTAGCACATCAGTCTGATTGACAGGTTACGGGGAAAGCTTTGATAGCTCTCCATTAGAGCCTGCTTTAAGGTACCGCCATAAAATGAAGAGGAGATCTCCTCTAAACTGACTATGCCTCCATAACAAGAGATAACAGAGATGCAAGTGGATAGTGAGAAAGTTCCTAGTAACTTGGGGCATTCATTTCCCTGTGCACAGGGATATTCATTTTACTGTGCGGGTCTTATTGAATATTCTATTAGCATAGAAAAGCTATAGGTAGTTCAGCATGGGGAATTTTAGGAAAATATTTAAGGAATGTTGTACTTTTAGCTTTATACTTTTGTATGGGACATCTCTCCACCAAAAGTAAGAGGTCATATGAGATAAAGAGTTCAAGTGCTTTGCATGGAGAGAGAAAATGTACTGATGCACAAGAACTGCTCTGCCAAAGATACCAGCAAAGGAAGTAGCTTAAAGATGGGGAGAAAGAAATAGAAGCCTCCCCAGACAGAATGAAGAAGGAAAACATGAATTTTATGGTGCTATCCCCATCTCAGGAGCCAAGCCAGGTTCTAATTCATGGTCAGGTGAACAGAAGTTAAATTAATATGAATTGCTGAAAGATGAACACAATCTATGTTCTCATCCACTAACACTTCTGCAGGAATTCTCATTATTATTAGTTTTTACTGATGAGGGAATCTCATTATTTTGTTTCTAATCTTCATTACAGTGGTTTTGCGCTCCCCTATTCAAGAGGAACTCAAGGGAGGAACATTCAAAATAACTTTGCAAGTGCTGCTAAAGCTATTCGATCTCTAAACCACTAGCAAAATTATTTGCTAACAAACTTTGAAACTTTCTGCCCTTCCAAAGGAACCATTTCACATGTGGTTTTTGGCTTTCTCTGCAGTGGTCCAGCAATATTATTTTATCCCAGCAAAGAGCGAATTATTGTTTAATATCGCTGCTATATTCCAGTATGTTTCCCAAGATGATAAATGTTGGCACAGAATAGAGGCAACTTTTTCAAACAATAAGTAATAAATTGTGCAAGGCTGAGGTAAATATTTTTCCATGTCCCCAAACAACTCTGAGTACATTCTTGAGGAGCGTATTGACAGTAAAATGTTTGAAAAACAGAAAATATGTTGGATTGGGTCATGGTTGTTGTCCAACCCACAAAATATCAAGAAAATTCCTAGCTCATTCTACCATCTGTTTCACTTTGTCCTCCTAGGTGCAGCTGTAAGCAGAGCATTTAAAATAACTACAATAGCAATTGTCCAGTATACTAAAGCCTAATTACATTATGAAATGTAATTAAACAATAATTTGTAATTTCGGATAGCACCTTCTATTTGAAGATCTCATAGTATTCATCAATGAGTTAATGACAAAAATATAAATAGCATTGTTCCTAGTTTTAGTGAGGAAAACTGAAACACAATGTTTGTCAGAATTGTGTCCAAATGCAGGAGGATATCTTGGAAATGAGTTATTCAAAAACTTGCATCCACCATGCCAATGTGATTCTCAGTGCCATGGGTATCCATTCCAACGTGACAACACATGACCTAACAAAATTGATCAAGAGATGGCTGAGTACTGAATTTGTGTAATGAGTTGCTTGTGAACAATCCACAAATCAACAAATAGCAAAAAGGAATTACTAAAAATTTCACCTCAGCAATATATATATGAAAATTGCTCCCTGCAGGAGGGCAATCTGCCAAGGGTAAAGGATGATCAAACACTATGTATTAACAATTAAATACTATCCTTATTCTAATCCAGTGTAACATTTACCCGATTTGTTCAGAAAGATAATTTCCCTCCAAGGAAAGATCACTTTATCAAAAAAACGTAATGTTATGGTTTAAATTTTCATAATAATGCCTTTTCTGAACCCTACTTCAGCCTGAGTAAAGCTCTACCTCACCTATATGAACATGTGCACCTCCATATATATAGAAAATTACTTAGAATTTCCATACTAATTTCAGAGAATTCGTACAATGTTAAAATGTTATATTTGTCTAGTGAGCATTCTTCTGGGCCAATATTTACCTGTTTGATGGAAAACTACTCATCTTCTAGCACTCTAAGGGAAAGACATACTCAGTATATGTACTCTGTACTTGAGACATAAATAATAAATGCAATTTAAACTGAAATATGAGCAGACTTTCCATTAAGTAACAGATCACTGTTGGATGGTCATGGTTTTTTGTATCTGGCAGAGGGCTGTATCTCAGATATGTAGACATCATGTAGAGATGGGATATTTTGTAAGAACATTAATAATGATCTTCCTACATTGCTCATGCTGTGGAAATGCTTCCTATTCATCTCATTATCTTCTGGTCCCACAATGGCATCACGATAAGTGCAGAGAAATGAGTAAGAAGCCTTCTATGTCTTTGTGTGGTGGGTATAAAATGGTTGCAAACCAGATGAATGCTTAAATACATTCTCTCTTTGACATTTTGCGCTACCCTTCTGGAAAGACCCCATATATTTAATATCAAAAGGGCAGGGACCACTTACCATGAGAGGAAAAAGAGAATGACTGCTTTGTCCTGCTATCTCTGTCCCAGGAAGCAGATCACAGAGGACCAAGATGGTTTCCCTTATAGCTTGAAAGGGGCTGATGAGAACCACAGAAGCACCTGGATAGAAGTCAGCTTCATTCACTCTTATCGGTCCCACAGATCTGCTCTGAATCTCTCTTCCTAGTCTCTTCCTCTGGGGTTATAAAAGAGGGCACAGCAGCGTGCACCAGAGAAAGGTTGTTTTGAGTTTTTGTTGTATATGTTTTAGTGGTCACTGCTGTCTTCAAAACCTTCATTTCAATATAAATCATGTCTGTTTACACATTTTCTTCTGAGTCAGTTCAACATCCCAAAGACTACTCCCATGAGTAGTTGTTGAATTTGGGCCCTCAGCTCTTCCCTAATGACCCTTCACAACATTAGTAAAGGCTTCAGCACTTACTAAAAGCATCAAAGGGCCTATTCTCATCTTTCATGGAATCTAATAAGAATGGTGGGGCTGGATATTCACAGAGCTGGCACTGCTTCTCTGCACGTCCTTGGGCAAGTCCTTTAAAATCTGCATGGGTTTCCTTGTGGTAGGATGGGAATAATGACGCTGTCCTGCTAACCATGTAGATTACAACACTAAATCATTTAAAAAACTTGTTGATGCCCAAACAAGAAAAACACCTGGCAGGTACACACATTCATGGAGAGGAGAGGAATGTGCCTAGAGATAACTTATCTCCCCAAACTGTACCTCCAAAATACGAATTATGTCAAGATTGCAAGTATGACTAATACTATCTTCACAACTCTAATCTACAGCAGTGAACAACTTCTTGTACAGACCAGTCTCTGGAATAGCCCCACTAACGTGCTACTAAAAGAACTAAAAACATTTAATTTGAAATATAGGATAGTAAGAAGCATCTCAAATAAAAGCAGATTGTGATAGACTGGCAGGGTGTCAGGCTCATCTCCACTTTAGACAGTGCTTCCTTTTTATCTTGCACTTTTAGATGACATCCTTCTGATGGAATCAATTGGCCACATTCTTGCCCCATGCTATTTCTGGTTTAATTATATTGCAGCTTGGTCAGCAGTAGATGATGTTTTTCCTGTTGCCTCTTTTACTGTTCTGTTAGTCTAGGTGATTTTGTAAATTCCATTCCATTTTCCTTTCATAAGTTCTTGACCAATATTTTATGACGTTTTCTGCAGAAATAATCATTTAGGGCCCAAAACAGTGTGTACTGATGTTAATCAGAATCCATTGCCTGCAACAGCTGTTAGACATGTAAATCAGTTTTTTACACCTGCCACACATACCAACAGCTGTAGAACAGAAATGTGCACTTGAAAATGAAGTTGCACATGTGAGGAAGAAAAGACAAGACTGATTTGAAGAAATGAAACTGAGTTTCTGTTTTTTCAGGAAACTACAGCCTGACCTCAGGTTACTGAAATATTTCCTTTGCCTTCATATCTTTTCCTTTGCAGATAGTATCAGATGTTAAATCAATCCAGTTAAGTACATTCCCTTGTAATTATCAAATTACAAAAGTGCAAAAAGTTACCAAAGAGACAAAGTGCATTTTAGAATTAACCAATGATTTGAGAAGGTTTGAAAGTCATGGCCCTGGAGAGCTTCATATCCATGTAAGGGTAATAGGGCATAATGTCAAGACACAGCAAACTCAAACCCAGATGAAAAACCCAAATTTCATATTTTTCTGATCTTCCTAATCTTTCAGAGCTCCCTTTCTCTGTCAACTTGTGATGCCTGGCACTTTTTCCTGTACTGTGACATACTGCCTCATTTACCTGCTCAGTCTCTGCCCTCTTATACGGACTGTCAGACCATGTTAAACTTGTACCAGGAAGCCAAGTATTAGCAGAGCAAGGGAACCTTCTCCTAGATTAAGAGGCAGGATTGCAACCATGCTTCAGATGAACCATGGACACAAATCATACTCTACAGTCTTAATACTCTACCATCTTAATAGTTACAGCCTAGTAACTTTTTTTTTTTTTTTTTTTTCCTTCAGAAAGGACTTCTCTGAAGTACCCAGAGACATCTAGTTTTAGGGTTTATTCCCAGTTAACATAATCCAAGTGAAAATGTGTGACTACTGTCAAAAGAAGAATGATGTTAATGCTTACCAAAGCTCCCTTCTTTTATGAAAACCACACCAAAACACATAACCTTTGTGCTTAATTTCTCCAATGTATTTTCTTATGCTGGAGATAGTCCCGTCTGCTAACCTCTGCATACCAGTACAGAACATGATTAAGAATCAAAGGCTACTACACCAGAACATATGTTTGGCTTCTTGTTTATATCTTTATAGAGGTCCAGCCAAAAGTCTCAGTGCAAACATCCTTGAATGTTTGCATGTTTTACAGAATAGGTCAAACTCTTCATACTTAGTACCGTTAACCTTTTGTTAACGAATCCTTTGGTGCAAATCTAGTCATTGCCGTTGATGTTGCAGGGATGAGCAGCTCCTTTCGATGCAAATTCAAAGCTCCTGGTGGTACCAGATTTCCCACTTGCTGCTTTATTCAGAAGAATCTTTCCTTGTGCTATTGAATCCCTGAGATGGGATTCAGGTTTCTGCTTCCCTAGTCCTCCAGCTTCCTTTGACACCTCACAGAAATCTGGTAACATCCCAAACAAACAGATCAAGACGAAATGTCAGACAAGTGACTCCGGCAGTAGGTCAGGCCGCTGTCCAGTTTTAGGTGTTCACTGTATTCTTTTCCCTTAAGGCCTTCTCTGCCTACCTCCATAAATGAAATAAGGACTTTTATGTTCACGGAGATGTTCTTACATCATTCATATAAGATCAGGAATTACCCAAACTATCACAGATCATCTGCTATATATCCTAGCTACCACACCATGGATGTGACAGAGGAAGGATCTCAGTCTATTTTCCTTGTACACTCAAATTCCCAATGAAAATAAAATGATTTAAGACAGAAAAGATGACACAAAGAAAAACTCATTTAAAAGTTACCACAGAAAATTTCAGCATGGAACGGCTTAATCATCTTCATTAATCAGACCACAACTAAAGCCAGCTGTCTTTCAAAGTGAGAACAGACGGAAAATTAGGACAACATACATCTGTGAAAAAAGTTAGACTTTTTTTTTTTCCTCCAGGAGAACTCAGCTAAAAGCTCCCTCCATTCAGGCACCTGGGTTTCGTTTCATAATAGCTTCGGTCCATTGTTCCTTATTATCAGAGCTGACTATGTTCAAACTAAGGCAGATCTTGTTCCTAAATTTATGTCTCTGTGTGTGACCGCTACAATATGTGTTTTGTATGCTTTTTCCTGAAAGCCTAATACAGTGATACCTGTGACATGGCTTGGACTTCCCCTTTCATGTATATTGCCAACTCGAACTGCAACCTGCTGGTAGATTTTTCTTAAACTCTGAAATGAGGGTCTAACCTTCTCTTCTTTTTCTTTTTCTTCTCTGTTACCTATAATCTTGATTTGACTCACACAAAAGTGACACAGCGGGAAATCCACTCAAGAAGACTTTGACAACTAACAATGGAAACCTACCTACACGAAAGTTGACTGGTGGCGTTTATAGTGAAAAAATGTATTCAAGTTTAAAGATGTCATCTGTGTTAACTGATTCGTGTTGGTTTTGTGTATTTTTTGTCAAAAGAAATGTGCTGCGGAGTCACCTCTGTTAGGGTAAAAAAAACTAGCCAGAACAACATCACCACACACAAAAAAAAAAAAAAAAAAAAAAAAAAAAAAGACAGGTTTTATTAGGAAAAAAAGAAAAAGATACATATATATTTAAGTTTGATTTAATATGATTTTTAATTTAAACCAAATCCAAACGACTTACATGAAACATGAAATCTGAGCATATTTAAATGAAACTACCTATCTAATTATATGTAATCATGTATCTTTTGCCCTCTCTAACATGAGAAATATGCTGTTTTATGTCGTACCAAAGGTGCTAAGTGTATTTCATAGATTAAATTAAAATAAGTTCAGTGAAAATTTTTCAGTAGTAGCTACTGATGTTTTTGGCTTCAGTTTTACAGCTGAAGTTGAGATATTTTATGTAGACTTTTTTTTTCTGGAATGAAAGGAATTCAGTGCTGGCTTCAAACCAGGCTTCTTCCTCAAATGGGACACCCAAAATCATGAGTTGCTATAGGAAATCTTTGACGTTTCACCCCAGAAGATATAAGAGATACAATTTAACACGAAATGCAGAAATGATAATATGCAAATAAAATGTTGCGACAGAAGCTATTAACATATCAAAGTTATTAACAGTCTACAGTTGGTCCTCTTGTCCTCATTCAAACTATAGGAGATTATAGGAAGATAGGTAACTAAAATTTGTAAACTTTTATAAAAATTAGTAAATAAACTGGGAGGGGATAAGAGATACACTAGGAAGGAGAACACAGAGTAATGTCTGAAAGAGATTGATGACTACAGGAGCTTATATGTATCCTGCTATATAAAGGTCAAAACTCGTTTTTGGTCTCAGCAGAGTTTAAGCAGTTTATGTCACCACTATTTTCTCTGCTAATAGACATTATTGTTGAGAAAAATATCAAGTATTCTGCAAGTGTGAAACTCAACTCTGTCTATGGTCCTTCGGCTCAGGTTAAGACATGTGGGCTGGAGCTGGGGCTACTACAACCTCCCAGAGAAATGTAGGACAAGCAGTAAACTTGGCCATTCTCTTGAAAGAAATCTGGGATGCTGAGAAAGGCTGGTGATGAATACGGCATAAAATGTGAATGGAACAGAAAGAAGCGGAAAGAAGAAGGAAGCAGAATGGCTGCCACATCCCTTAGCTCATTCATCCAGGTCAGGGCGGCCCAAAGAAAGGAGAGTTCAGAGGAGTCTGTGCCGTTGTTGTCCACACCGTGTGTGGTCTCTAGCTAAACAGCAGGCTTAGAAAAATGTGCAGATTTGTAGATGGCAAATCTTTCTATCTGTGTATTCCAGCAACTGCATTATTTCGGTTAATTTAAATTCACTTAAAATTTAAAGAGGTGGG